CCCCCCCCCCCCCCCCCCCCCCCCCCCCCCCCCCCCCCCCAAAAAAAAAATAGTTCGTTCAGACAGTTGTCGCAGTGTGGTGAACTGGAAGGAGGCGCTCCGCAGATAAGTGGGTGGGCTGCACTTCCACACCTGGTTTCCGATTCGGCCCCGATTCTGCCCAATGCTTTACCCAATCTCTTCCCTATGAAGTTTGAAAACGTTTGTAAGGATGACTTTCACGGATACCGGTTAAGCAGTGATTTTCACCTTTTTTTTTGCAGAAACAGGCAGATTTGCATCCAATTGGATTCTCAGTCGTAATGTAACAACGGAAATCATCTGCAAAGCTGCGAATTTTGCAAGTTCTTGGGGCTTTCTCGAATATCGGAATATACTTTTCTCTATACTTTTTCCTTTTCACGCGACAGCTCTAATAGCTGGCCTGAGTTGGTAGACGGCGTTCAAAAATGAAACACTCTTGGAAACTAAGGTAGAAGCCATACCGTATCGTAGCAAGCGAAACCCAACGTGCGTCAGTGCGGCTTGGCATTTTTTGCCATCCACAGCTGTAAGCCTGATCTTTGGCCTTTTTGAACAATATCGGTCATAGCTCAGCAGCAAGCGAAAGGCTGTTTATAAATAATTTGTTATTGCTCGAGTTTTTTCTTTTGATAAGAAAGTATGTTATTGTTACACTTCGGCGGCAAGTTGATTGGTGCAAAATAACTCTGAACGTTGGATGAGCATCCGTCTGCTCATATTTCTGCGAAGGCTACCAAGGCTTGAAACCCTAGCTCCTCCCTTGTCAATATGCAGAGCCAGCACTAAAAAGGGAGGTAAGCAAACCAGCCCGTTTGGCCCTTCTGCTGGATGCATTTGCTTATCCTGCGATTTTGCTTGAGGGCCTCATAATCCTACTCAGGGAAAGTACATGTGGAGTCGCTTCTAAATCCCAGGTGGATGCTCTTTACGGTGTACATAGGGCTGCCGTGCAACTGTGACAGTATGGTGTGCTTTAACAGTTGATTCATACTATATTCGCCCAATGTCTTCCACATACTAACAGGGAAGTGTCTTCCACCTGGGATTGAGAAGCGACTCCCCACGTAATTTCCCTGAGTGGGATTATGAGACCCTTGAACAGAATCGCAGAATAAGCAAATGCGTCCAGCAGAAGGGCCAAACGGGCTGTTCTGCCTACCTCCTGAAAAGGCTCTAGGAGACTCAGTTGTTTGTGAAACTCGTCGTGCGCACCGACCGCAAAGCTGTCATTAATCGAATAGTTCCGAAATGAGAGCAGGTTTGCAGAAAAAAAAAGAAAAACTTCATAGATTGGAAAACATAAACAAAATGGTTGAGTGTGAACTGACAATCATCGCTCATATGGTAATCGTAGACGCCGAGAAGATTGCGAATCCCTCGATAAGCACCGAATAGCAGAAGAATGGCCACCACAATGGCGACGATAATCAGAAACAGGATCAGGAACACCTAAAATGCCATCAAGTATTTGGAACCATCCGAAATCCTGCTAGATCTGTTGAATTCTATCATTCTAGACAAAAAAAANAAAAAAAATAAAAAAGAGAAAACTCGAAACTCGTGAATTCAATCCAATGGAAATACTCAAGATAATACCTATTCTCTTTCTACCCATTCAAAGGCACAGTTTACGATTAAAATGATCTTGAGTATCCCCGGAGGATGAATTTGTGGTCTACTCGTATACCAGATATAGCGCTATCAGATGGAGAAACGGCCTAGAAGGGCGTCAAAAGGATTTAAGGATCGTATCGGCTGTATGCCACACCTAAAGGCGGACGAGTTTTAACGGCATTGCGTAGGATGCGCCAGCCACAGAGAACACCCTTAATAAGAATTCAAACAAATAGTCGTCGCACATGGCGACAGTAGAAGGCAGTTTTAGGCTTTTGGTCTTTGCCTTAATGTAATTAACTCTTTAGGCAACTGCAGCGATTGAAATCTCGTCCAAATCAGTCATGATAATCTCGTACATCTCTTTTTTCACTAGTTGTATTGGAAGCCTTGTATTTTTCGAAGTCGGCAGATTTTTCCCCTTTCCTTGCCACTGTTCTCCACCATCTGTTCCTATTTCTAACTGGAAGGGTACTAAAAATGATCGTAAACTAAGGCTTGAAGTGAGAAGAGTTTGTGGAAAGCAGGACGAATCTTGCACTAAATTGTGCATGAAAACTTTCACACAATTATATGGGAAGGGGCAACGCTGCCACATGTCTGTAAGGGAATCCAAGGCTCACAATCGCATGCACAGGCTTTCGTGTCACTTTGTTGACTGGTAATGAAAGGCACCAAGGTCACAATCATCGTAAGCTGCGCTTGATCCATGGAAAATTGCCAGCATAGTTAACTACTCCATTATAATATGGCTTCGAGGAAGTATGTACATATTACGCATGGGCCTTCAAGCTACATCTCCTAGGAATTGTCAGGAACAGCATCGCAATCCAACAGAAACTCAACAATTAGAAAAATAACCCACCTGAGCGCTCAGATGGGGAATAAGCCAACGAGCCTTCTCCTTCTTGATCGCATACAGCATAAGAGCAATGGCGAACAGAATTACAATCACAGAGAAGATACCTGAACAGTTTCGTTTGTATAGGAGATTGAAATCTCGTCCGAATCCGTCGGGTGATCTCGTACAACCTCTTTTTTCACTACTTTCAGGATCACTCAATCAGAAGAGCTCGGTACTACATACATCAAACAACCTAGGTACTCAGTACACAGAAGGTTTCTCTGAAATCTGTACTGACCGAGAATGAACCAGAATAGGTAGCTGGATCCAAAGAGATGCAGGTTTCGAAAAAGTCCATAGACAGAGAGGATGCACAGAATTACTTCGACGACGGCCACGATTATGCCAGCCGTCTGCAAAAACACGTCGTAAGTGAACCTTTCAGAATACTCCGTTTGGCTGGAGACTACAATTGCAATTAACATCAGGAGTGTTTGATTTTTTCGAATAAACTGTAGTAAGCCGAAAAGTAAATGGATCCGTTTTGGAGACTCTGCCGATTGTGGAAGCAACGTTCGTCACTACTCGAAAAGCAGGCACGATCTCGTCATGCCAGACAGATTTTTCGGCCCAAAATCATTACGTTCTTTAGGAATTCAGTTGTTGTGCTGAATCCGACAGTGATATCCCGAACGGATATCCTAAGGGGTCTCTCAGCGGAATCTAAAGGCAAAGGTCGGTTAGACGAGGTGTAATATTGTTTATTTTGAATTAACCCCATGTTATTCTTTTATTTTTTTTTGTTCACACGAGCATATCTCGTGTAACAAATATAGATGTCGCTCACACACTATGATCAGGGATATACGAGGCACAGAAAGTAGCTATTGGTAGATGGACAGCCTCTTTTGCGGTCAATTTGGTGCCTACATCTTCCACCTACTTCCTTCCTTCCAGTATCTGTTCCCACATCGTTCACATAATCCGGAGCAGACCTCGGAAGAGACCGAAGCTCGATGGAGCAAGGGGCTGGGGCAAAAGTAACTATGCTAAGGTTTGGCTTGGTCTTATCTTAACCGCAGTTATTTTACTGTAGTACGCGATACGAAAGTCTCACAAGGTTGGCGAGTTGTGAACAAAACTTCGGCCTCGGACGGGATTCGAACCCGTACTTTTGCTACCTGAGTCCCGTCCGAGGCCGAGTTTCTGTCCATAACTCGCCAACCTTGTGAAACTATGCTGAGGCTCAGCTCGCGTATCCCCAGTCCGTGCTCAAGATCAGGACGTTCCCCGCGTTCTTGATGAAAACAATGGCACAGGAGTGAAACGCGCTTTACACTTGTGTTTTACACTGCACCTTTTCTTTTCCAAAGTACTATCATAAAACGTTTCTGTCTTGCATGAAAAATGATGTAAACATTGAAAGAAATCGAAACTTTTGGGAATGGGACGCCCACCGTCAAATGCAAAACAAAACTGAAATATTTCAGATTGAGTACGGGTCACTACAAGAAGGCTACATGGGCCGAGAAGCGAATCGTCGGGGTTCAGGGGTAGAATGCTTGCTACATGGAATGTCCTTGCCCTAAAAGGAACTTACTGGTTAAGGAACTTCTCAAAGTTCGATCCTTTCTTTGACAAATAAAGAGAAACCCTATTTTCGATAGTCAATTCAAATCCTATTGAAAACACACGAATCGAACAATCACAGAGTTGGAAGATAATTCCTACCTTGAGGCTGGAACAGGGCACCCCGGCGGTCATCTCCGATCCGGGTTAGAAAGAGGCCTGAAAGCAGTCTGATTAATTCTAGATCGGCAATAGAAACAACAAAAGAATGACAAGCGATGAGATTCTTTCGAGGCCTGGGAATAAATCAATCAAAACAAATGATCAATAAATTCAAAGTAAGCTGAGCAGTAAAGGCCAAAGCTCATAACGATGTGTGGACTTAAATAAAGGCTGCTGTGGTAGCAGCTGTTCTATGTAATTTGCTGGAAAGAACTGCGACCCATCCACTCTTGGGCAAGAACTGCATCAGATCGGGAAATTCACGGAACGGAGGCCGTCGAGAAAATATTTTCGGGTGACTCATGTGAAATGTCGGGGAAAACTTCGCGCATATAGCGCCACCTCGTTGAGCAAAGCAAATAATCGAGTGATTACTCCTTTGAAAGGTCACTGACTAGTAAGTGGTATAGCGGGAGCGGGGATCAACAGGACAAGTTCATCGAATGAAAACGTGACTAATAAAGTGGTATGTTTGGATCTCATTCCGATATTCCCTCCCAATTTTACTCATTTACAGGTAATGGT